GTGGCTGGTGTATCATTTCAGGGCTAAGTGAATTGTGGAAACTGAACTCAAACTACCCTTTCCCAATGGGCAGAGAGCCAAGCTGCCCCATCTTACCAGTGTTGGGTATGGCCATGTGAATTGCTTTGGCCAGTGGAGTATCAGCACATGAAATACACAAAGTATAAACTGTGTGTGGTCAGGGTTGCCTTCTTGTGCTTCTGTCATTACTAGAGAACTTCTGGGCTTTAGTATTCTAGCCCAAGTTTGAAGAGGAACACAAATGGAGTAGACCCAAGCCCAACTCATGGCCTGTAGTCAAACCCAGCCAGAGCTCTAGTGTGAAGCAGAATCACTCTGGCAAGTCTGGCAGCCAACCTGCAAAAGCATGAACGAGAATCATTAAGTTGATGCCATTCTCTTAGGCTCCATCATGAGGGCTAAAACACCTCTTCGTTTAGTGCTATATGCTCAGAGCCTAGCAGTTTGTCACATAGCAGCTGTTAACATCTGTTGTGGTCACTTTTGTTTCTTCCAAAATTAGTGACCTAGGAGAATAAAACTGAAAGGAACTTACGTAATTTAGTAGTCAAGCATGTGGTGCAACTGCAAAATCAATTTCAATGAGGATCGTAAAGCATATTAAGGGTTATTAGGTTGGTAAGAGCACTGCCTGGATTTATAGTACCTACCTCACAGAACAGTTGCGTGGATTAAGAGATGTATTTCAGGTACGTAGAATCTTGCCTTGGTACATGATAAAGCACCATATAGGCATTTTATTATTGCCAGCATAAGATGGTTTTGAGCAGGGTTACTGAAGTCCTCTTCGCCTGCTCCTCCCATCACCTATTTATATCTACTTGTTCTCACTTTTGTTATCTCATCTCTGCACGTATTAAGCTCTTTTGTAGGTTTTCATGATCTTTTTATGCCCAGGAATGCTAAGGGCCGATATCTATTTCACCCACCTCCCCTCTACCAACCATTTTAAGAAATGATTTTGTTCTTTTCCCCTAGGCTATCATTGGCAACTCTCTCCCCCTGCTCAAATCGTATTTGTTACTCAACATCCAGTCTAAATGCCACTCTTTCACGAAGCCTATTCTGATCTTCCTTCCCAAAGGAATCTGCTTGTTCTCTGAAACTCCTTAGCAATTCATCTCTACCTCAATTATACTCTTATACTTGCTCCTCTCAGGTATATGCCTCTCCATGATGACACTATAAGCTCAGAGAGTATAAGACCACAATTCCTAGGCTTACTTTCTACACATTCCCACCCTCAAGTATACGGCAGGCAAGAAAGAAATGTTTTGAATGAATATATATGAAAAGCCCATTTTGATAGGTTCATCTAAATTCTAAAACAGCTTTATTGAAAAGTCAAGCTTTTGAAAAAAAGATAAATTATAATAGAACACTAATTAGATATAAAAAGATAAAAGAAGTTTGCATGTAAAAAGGAAAGACACTTGATTTATTGCATTAAAAAACTTTATTTCATTTAAAAGGTCCAATATAAGCCAAATTAAACCCCCAATTTACGGCTACACGTAGAGATCTCCTGAACTAAATGGCACTGTTTGAGTTGAGTGTCTTGTTAAAGGAGGTCATTTGCTATTACCACCATTTCCCCCAAAGCAGTTCTAGAGCAGAAGCTGGTATTATTAAAATACACATCGGATATCAGATGTCACCTTTCATGCAGAAGTTAAAAAAGCAGACGTGCTCTTCTGTTCTGTGCGAGGATAAAAACCACTACAGAGCAGGGCCCGAATGCTTTTGACATACAAGGTGTAACCATAAGGGAACTTACTGTGGTGCTGTGTTCATTCATTAAAAAGTCCATGTACTTACTCCAACAATACTAGTGCTGTTCAAATACTATTTGGGACAGTACTTTGGGTTTTCCCTGCAGAACAAAGGAAGTGGTGGATCAAGCTGGGGGACAGACTATCACAAAATGCGATCACAAAGCAATGAAACAGTTTTCCTAGCGGGCAAGCAATCCCAAGGACCACCTCACGAATATTTTCAGCAACAGCATCATTTACATAAAGTGATGCAAGATCTAAGTTCTGATATATGTGAGGATAAATTAAAAACAGCTTGTTACTTTATAGCTACACCTCGGATTTCATTAGATGTGGTAAATCGAACAGTGTGTCTAATGAGTCCTTCTAGAAATCAGCGCAGATAAGTCAACAGCCTGTAAAAGAGAAGACATGGCAGAGGGCACAAGAGTCATCTTTTCAATGTTCTCAGTGTTCTCTTGGAGGACAGACCCAGGCCCAAGGACAGAAGTTACCAGGAGGGAGGCTTCAGCTCCATCTAAGGAAGACCTTTCTAACAGTTAGAGCTGCTCGACAACTGAACGGACTGCTTGGTGAGGTAGAGCCACCGGAAGTGTTCAAGGTGGAAAGATCACCCTTGTAGAAGGGACTCCTGCATTTGTTAAGAGGTTAGCCTGGATGAACCTCAGGTCTCTTTCAATTCTGAGATTCTAGAAAATTCCCTCAGGGAATTCAGAAGAGAATTCCTAAAAGGAAAGAGAAAGCACATATATGTATACTTTTAGAATCCTCTTGAGTTTTTTCTTTTTTTTCAAAAGGTACAATAGAAAATGTAGTCTGCTGTCTTTAAAATGCATATTCACCTTCCTATCACTAATACTTAGGAAGGGTCCATTAGGACTTCTTTATATTATAAAGAAAACATGGAGGATTACATTTATAATTTCTGTAAATATTTTAGAAAAAATGCTTAAAATCTAGTAGTCAATGCCCTAGAAACTTTATAGATTTTTAGGTAATATGCACAGATACAAATACATTATTCATTAAATACAACTCACATCTGTGTTTTATTATACTCTAAAATATACAGGAATCTTGATGTACTGAAAGAGTGCAAGTAAATACAGTATTCAAGCAGTCACTATTTCTATGTACATGCTCATTAATTCTTCAAAAAACCCACAAAATTATCAAATAGATCAAAATACTGTTCTGTGTTTTCACACTTTATATTCAGAAAAACCAGCTGATAATTTACAATGTCATAGGTTTCCAGTTTTACAATACAAAAAGGATAAAATGAAATTGGGTATCATTTTGTGAAAATTTATGGAACTTTATACTTAGACCTGACCCTCTACATATGTGAAATCATTCTCACTGGGAAAGTGACAGTTACAGTAAAAGCAGAACCATGTAAATTGTTACTTAAAAGTCTAACCCTCAGCCATTTCCCTCTCCCTGTTATTTGAAAGGCAGTCTTCCAATCTGGCAGGCAATTGTCCCCCAACCCCAAAAGTAGCATGTTACAAACATGCTACAATAAATCTGAATAGGACCTAGAGGTTTTAGTATTTTAAAGTTTGCCAAATATTCAAACACCTTCCAAGAGACCTGATGATGTTAATTTATTAATAACAAGGGATTTGATTCTTCACTAAACAATGACAACGAAAACTCCCCAACTTGCAACTCGCTGTGCAGGCACAGAAGTAACGTAAGTGACGAAGGTGCACCATCCAAAGTAGAGGCTGAAAACCTCCCAGGACCTCTCAGCTGCAAAAGGGTGAAAATAATCTACTTTTTGATTTTCTGAAAATTTCTTCTAGGAAATTCTTTACATTTTCAAACAAAAATAGTTCAATTTAAAACCTAAACCCTTCAAAACCGGGCAACAATAGCCCGATCCCAACCTATCTCATGTCTACGTCACAAATATTCCACCCTGACTGCACTCAGTCGGCTGGTTTTTAATTCTAATATTACAAAACTTGGAATTTTAAAATTTTTATGTAAAAGAAAAAATGTAAAAATACATCTGCTTTCTCTCATGGTTTAATACAGTATTCGAAGGCTTTCAGATGTTTTGTTTAAAAAAAAAAATCAACATTTAAAACCAAATCTTGACTTCATTTTCAGAAATATTAAAGTTTGGTTTAGATAACGTCTCATTTCACCTAGTCCAGTTTCCACAAAATGGTATTCTATTAAAAAACCTTTAAGTTATTTGGTCCTTTGGCAATTTGCTGTGCACATAATGCCTACTTATTGTACCAAACTTTTATTGCCCTTAAATTTAGCTGTAGTTTTATTGATAACATTAAAATCTAGTGTCTTTATCTCTTCTTTTACAATAGTGTTGCTTATGTAAGCAGATTAGGGTGCACAGTGTCCCAAATCATTCCTGGCACTGCAAAACCAAATAAAACAATTCCACAAAGCAATCTGACAGCAAAATGTTTTCCTCTGGCCAAGTCTATTTCAAGATTCTAGAAGTTCCTTTTCCAAAACTTGCCTTTAAAATTCTTCTTCCTAATGTCATCACATTTCTTATATTCGCTCACTCTGTGATCTTTCCTCTTAGGTTGAATTTGTACGAGAATAACAAAGTGCCTTTTTCCTGAAAAAGCACAGTTTGAAGCGTTAGTGTCAGAACTCTCTCCTTGGACCTCTGGCTCAGGCTCTTAGTAGGTCTCAGAATCGGAGTCATTGAGCTCGTCCACGTCGGTGTATAAGTACTCCTGTTCCCCGCCAATGTTGTTGAAACTGCAATAGGAACTAGGTTCATTCCTCATGATGGGCAAGGCTTCGAAGCTGACTGTTTTTGAGGTGTTGGTGTAACGATTAATGGCATTGAATGTCAGGGATGATAAAGGGCTACTTGATGAGACAGGCATCATGGTGGCCAAAATGAGAGCTAGGCAATCAGCTACATCCTTATTGGGAGCACAGGCCAAAGCTGGGGTATAGCCTAGAATTAAAAGATAAAATTAAAAAAATTAAACATCCTGAGACTCATTTTCATTATATTAGGAAATAAGCCTAAAGGCCTTCAACTTTAGATGTATTTTCAATTACTTGGCTTATAATAAATTGGTTTCATTAGAGTGATTCAGAAATTTCCAATAAGTAGAAAAAGAGGAGTCATAGCAATCTAGGGCAGGAAGAGACCTAACAGACTGTATTATAGTAAAAGAAACTAAGGCCCAGAGATGTAAGATCTTGGGAAAATCATCCAAGTTATCCATATCCATCTGAATTCACAGATTATTACTGGGCTAGAATAAGGGGAAAAAAAAGTTTGATAATCTTCTTTCAGAATGGTGGAAGCATCTTACTGTTAATTTTAAGTTATATAAGTTTAAGTGCTTATATGCTGAGATTTCTACATGAGTAGAGATTCATGAATGAAGCACCAAGTAGGTGCTCAAAAGAGAAATGTTGAATGAATGATATTTTGCTGTCGTTTAACTTTTAGGGTCAGAGTCCATTGAAGAAAAACCAGCAGATAGGTGAACTTTTAAAACCTAAGTCAAAACAAATGTTTCCTTTGTAACTGTTCCTTTCTTTAACAGAAAACTGACCTTAGCCCTAAGGCACCACAGAGTTATCAATACAACAAATTGAGTAAGGAAACATTTGATACTTTAGTTGGTACAAGACCCAGTCTTGAGGATGGAGCGGGAGAGAAGATGGCGAGAGCACACTGTGAGATGCCAAGCTTAGATTTTCCCATACGGAACTTTGGCAGCAAATGTCTTAAAGTTCGAGTTTACAGCTTCATGTGTCCTTCCTTGCACATCTGACACGGTTTTCCCTATTACTATATTTACTCATGTTTTAGCCTTCACACACATATATGTATATATTTTATAAAGTCACATTTGTTTTGCAAATAGCTGACTGATTTATCACAAAACATTCATGAAACCACCATCCGAATCAGGAAAGAGGGCATTAGCAGCATACCAGAAGCCCTGCCTGTCCCTTCCCTATTCACTATCCCTTTTCTATTTCACAAAGTTAACCACTTTTCTGACTCACGTGGTGATCATTTCTGTGCTTTCCTTTCTACTTGAATTCATAAACACTATAGTTTAGTTTTGACTTTTAACCTAATATAAATGGAATCATACAGTATGTATTATTTATTACGTGTCTTCTTTTGTTTAACGTGCCTATAAGATTTATCCACACTGTTGTATGTAGCTGTAGTAGGTTCATTTTCATTGTTACATATTCTACTGTGTGATTATACCATGGTTTAGTTATTCATTTTAAGTATTAGGCATTTGGCTGTTTCTAATTCTTGTATATTTTTATCAAGGCTATGTTACATTAGCCTTGAGAAAAAGATAATTTTTTCCCTTCATAAATTTCCCCTTTTCCAAGGGTCAAAGAAAACAGCTGATGCCCTTGCAAGTTTGGCAGGAGTGGCTGAAGAGTGTGCATATTTTTAATTAAACTCTATTAGCTCAAAGTGAGTAGGAGGGTGCTTCAATGCCAACACTTGTTTAAAGGGCTCCTCTGAAGATGCCTATTGTGCTCTCCTGCTGGTAGGCAGAGCAACCCATTAGACAGGCCATGATGCCTTGGCTGAGAGTGGGGACGGGGGAAGAAGAGCATCTGAGTGCATTCTAAATATGACTAAAAAGAGGCTCTCCTCTCTGCATGAGGTTGGTGTGGTCAGCAAAAGAGAAATGTAAGAGAAGCAAACTGCTTGAGGATAAGGGTCTAATTCATCCCACGCAAGAATAATATATTTTGATTCCTCTAGAAAAATCCATGGAAATATCACTTAACCTCATTCTTAGAGTGAATTAGGCACAGGATATACTGGGCCCTTTATCTAGTCTCAGCTTAAGACTACAGAGCCTAAGTAATCATTAACCACTATTGTTATTTGAGCAATTTATAACTGGATAATTAATTTGAAGTTTAGAATCAAATTATAGATTGATTATAAAATGAGATCGGTATTTAGTATGACCTGTCAACTTTGGGCAATGATTACTATTTCACATTGCAAAATGTGTTAAATGATATTCAGGTCACAGGTGATCTTCATTATCATCTGTTATATTATCCCTTACCTTTCTTTATAAGAAAAAAGTATATAAAATCTTGAAAATGGTCAACGAAGACTTGCATATCGACTGTTGATTCAGAGCTTCATAATGTAGTCAAATATCCTATACAGTTAGCATTTTAGCCCTCATTTTAATTTATGTAATTGCTATACTTCCAGAAATATAATTTAATGATAATGTAAGTTTCTTTTAAAGCTGGGTGAGTCTGAACTTATCTTAGTGGGTGATATTTACCACTTCCATGCATTTCATGACTACATATCCTAATGATTTCGGGCTCCACATCCATATATATCCAATTACCCACTTGGAGTTTCCACCAAATTTTTCTCAAATGCCTAAATGAAACCAGCTCTTTCTCTTACGTTCTCACCTTTGACTTTTTTAACTTAACATAATTCTGCTAAACAGTTTCATCATAACACCTCCAATGCCTCTACCTTTATTCTGGCTACCATCTCCTCTCACCTAAAACTGCTAACTTGTTTTCCTGTTCTACTCTTGTCTCCCTCAGACCACTAACTTCCTAGTGCACAGATCCTTTGCCACTTGATCGAAGAGGCTGGCAGAGCTCAGTACTTACACTGCCCTGCGTTAAATCTCTAAATATGCTACCCTCTGCTTTGAAAGTTCTCTTCCACTTTTTACGTGTCTTTTGGATTTTGGCTCAGAAGTCGTTTTTTTTGGATGTCTTCCCTGACCCTCCAAAAGGGTTTGAACAC